AGTGGGCTCAAGCATAACAATTGTGAGGATGGCACAGGAATGGGCAGTGTTTTGTTCTGTTGTGCATAGGGTCAGTTTGAGTTGGAACCAACTTGGCAGAACCTAACAACAGTATTAATCTATCTGGTTCATTACATAGGTTTTTGCTTAACTTCTTAGGCTTGGTTGCCCATAATAAGTAACTTCATGAAGCATTCTCCTCCTGTAAAAAAAAAAGTTATTTTTGTAAAAGATTTGCAGCCATTTGTAAGGAGCAATAAATGACAAACCATGACACTTAGCTCCTTAGGTATTTATTGAGTGCCTAGAGTATCAGGTACTGTGCCAATTGCACTAGATAGTGAGCAAAGCACCTAATCTGGCCTTATCCAGATGCCCAATGTATCCTGTGGCCAGCCATGATGGTGAACTTAATTTCCATGGCTCTACCTAGTTCGCGGCCATCCTCAACAATTGTTATGCTTGAACCTGCTGCTGCTGCCACTGTGTTGATCCATCTCACTGGGAGTCTTCCTCTTTCTCCCTGACCCTCCGCTTTGCCAAGCATAATGTGCTTGTGTTTGCGCAAGGGTGGATGCTGGGGAAGCAGTAGGGCATCACTTATCATGGGGAAAGATCATTGGAGTCTGAAGTGGCTAGATGCTTATTCATAGGACATACCTTGAGGTGGAAGTGCTTTCTATCTAGCTCCCTTAATCTTTCTGAAACTTAGAGCCCACCCTTTACTAGGATCAACAGGCTCGTCAGATGCTTTCAAAAGTCCCACCACAATTTTGGTGTTGGCTCTGCCCTCAGGTTGAGCCTATCCCTACCTGTTCCTCTGCCCTATGCTACATATACATATATATATGTGTGTGCCTGCTGGCTATTTTAGTAGTTAATGTTTTTATTTTGTTGTAACAAATTATTCCATAATTAAATATTCATTATCAGAATGTCAGGAGGAAAAAAACCCTACTCATTCCACTCCTAGAGAAGTTTTCTCCCCTAAGGATTCCCTCTCCATAATTTGTTCACATCTTTTTACATGCCTTCCATAGTGTATCAAGGAGCTCTGGTAGTGTAGTGGTTACAAGTAGGGCAGCTAATCTCAAGGTCAGCAGTTTAAAACTACCTGCTGTTCCACAGGAGAAAGATGAAGCATTCTCCTCCTGTAAAGATTTATAGCCTCAGAAACCCTGTGCAGGATTGCTATGAATTAGAAGCAACTCGATGGCACAGCACCACCACCATCATAGTGTATCTGCATTATTATTTTTTTTTTTTGTCACTTGTACATATTGGGCTGCTAACCTCAGGGTCAGTATTTCAAAACTACCAGCTGTTCCATGGGAGAAATATGAGGGTTTTTGCTCTCATAAAGATTTACAGCCTCGGAAACCCTGTACAGAGTTGCTATGAGTTGGAACTAACTTCACGGCACATAACCACCACCACTGCAGTGGAAAAACAAGTTGGTATTAGAATAATTCTTTAGAAGACAACTGTTTAGCACAGGGAAGAGTGTTAAAATTTAAGTGGGTACACTCAAGTTCATCACAATAGCAAAAAAGATGGAAACAATTTAAGTGTCATCTGTGGATAAACAAAGAATGGTAATACACATAATAGAATACTATGCAACATTAAAGGATGAAGATAAAACAGCTCACAACTAGATGCAACTGATGGACATTTTGCTGAGTAAAATAAATCAAGAAGATAAGCTCTTAAAAAGTCAAGATAAAAAAAGTAAAGGCTTATGCACAGAAAGAAACATTCTTTGGACTGTTTGGAATGGGAGGGGAAGAAAGGTGAAGTCGCTAAATAGACGTATTAACATGGGTGAAGGAAACGGGAATACATGAGTAAAAGGTAACAATGGTGAATACTATTACATATGCAATCTTGCATTTACAATTATATTTTATGAATGGATACAAAGCTAGATATGCAAGCTGAGCAGGTGTGGGATGGTATTTGGGAGTACACTTAAGAGCATACATAGGTTTGGTAGGACAGTTACGCATAGTATTTTCAATTATAGTAGAGCATTGTTAAGTGCCGGCAAGTTAGTTCCAACTCACAGTGACCCTGCATAGGGGTTTTGAGGAGCAGCTCATTTGAACCAAAATGCTGCAAACTTCTTAGCTGTAACCAAACACCTTGAGTGACTGTGTCACTGGGCTTGAAGGCTTAGGACCATAGTCTATGTCAATTGACATAGCATAATCCATAAAGACAATATGTTACATCCTACTTTGGTGAGTAGTGACAGGGGTCTTAAAGTTTGTGAGTGGTCATGTAAGATATATTTAATTGGCCATGCACATCACGCATAAGGGGAAGTGACCGAAGAACATCAATGAAGCGGCGAGCTAAGCCCTACATCATTCAGCAGACTACTGTGAACCCGGGTAGAGACCTGGTTGGCCAACAGTGAGGCAAGACCTGGGGACTCATGGGCTCAGAGTCAATGACACAGCCACAGAGGACTAGAATGGAGAGTGAAGTAGCCAGCTGATAAGAAGAGGGCCGACAGACGCAAGAACACACACACTTGCAGGTGATACCCACTTGACCTGGCTTCAATGACTGGATGAACAGAGCTCAACCCGAAGAAGAAAGAAGAGGAAAAAAGTGTCATCTGATACAATTTGATAAACTTCACCTATACCTATAAATACAGTAGCTCAAAAGAGGAAACAAATCCCTGCTGCAAGAATCATTCCCAACCCCTCCACACAAAGAGTAGACAGGGATGGGCAACTTGGACATTGGATACCCAAAATGGAGTGAGGGATACAAAGGTAAACAGTGACTGGCTTACAAGCTTTGAAGAGGGAACCTAGATCCAAAGGGCGTGGAGGAAGGTAGAGTCTCCAGTGAATAGTATCCAGCCTAACCAGGAAGGGCTGATGAAATGAAATGCAGATGGGGCTCTTGTGATGCAATAGTGCATAATTGTTACCAGGACTGATTATGAGGGTTGGAAATGTAAAGGTGGACATTTTATAACAAGGAGGGGAGTGATTAACTTTTCAGTCTAGGAGCGGAGGACCCTAGGACCATCAATGGAGAAAAGTGGAGAGCGGGATCCTACCCAGAGAAGCAGTGAGGCCTGAGATGGAGGCAGAGAAGATGACGTGAAGAGATGGAATGGCTGGGGACTTGAGATCCAGAAAGGGAAAGGGCTGCATGCTGAGGACCGTGGGGGTGGGGGGCTACGGGCTTGCAGGGTA